GGATCCTAGCATAGAATGTAGCAAGAGGATTTCCTGGAATGCTTGGAAGCATCGACTGCATGCATTGGAAATGAAAGAACTGTCCATTTGCTTGGCAGGGGTTGTACAAAGACGCCAAAGGCGGATGTAGTATGGTACTTGAGGCAGTGGCCACACAGGACCTCTGGATTTGGCACTCTTTCTTTGGGATGCCAGGAACTCACAATGACATCAACGTCCTGCAGTGCTCCCTTGTCTTTGCCAAGCTTGTTGAAGTTCATTCTCCTCCGGTGAACTTCAAGGTCAATGGGCGGCAGTACAGCAAGGGGTACTATCTAGTTGATGGCATCTATCCGAGATGGTCGACATTTGTGAAGACCATCTCAAACCCTGTGCCAGGAGGCAAGAACGCCTGGTTTGCGAAGGTTGAGGAGGCTTGCAGGAAGGATGTCGAGCGGGCATCTGGTGTGCCCCAATCTCGATTTGTTGTTGTCCGGTTCCCTGCTCAGACCTGGTCGAAAGATCAAATGTGGGAGATCATGACTTGTTGTGTCATCTTGCACAACTGATCATTGAGAGCGAGCAGGAAGAGCCAGTGTTTGACACTGAACCATATTACAGGCAGGGTCCTCTTGCCCAAGTTGATCACCAGCTACCGGCAACCTGGACTGACTACCTCAATATGCGTCAGGAGATCCGAGACCCACAGGTGCAACAAGAACTGCAACACGATCTGGTGGAGCATCTATGGAGGCTCAAGGGCGAGGCCGGGGCGACGCGGGAATGACGTGTGATGAAATTTGAGTTTTTATTTGTTAAACTATATAATTTATATTGAACTATTTGTTGAACTATTTGATTTATGTGATGAAACACGCCGAACCATGCCGAACTATGTGACGAACTAATTAATTTCTATTTATATGCAAAAATTCATGTTGGAAATATGCCCTAGAGGCAATAATAAAAGGATTATTATTATATTTCTTTGTTCATGATAGTCGTATTTTATTCATGCTATAATTGTATTATCCGGAAATCGTAATACACGTGTGAATACTTAGACCACAACATGTCCCTAGTGAGCCTCTAGTTGACTAGCTCGTTGATCAACAGATAGTCATGGTTTCCTGACTATGGACATTGGATGTCGTTGATAACGGGATCACATCATTAGGAGAATGATGTGATGGACAAGACCCAATCATAAGCATAGCACAAAGATCGTGTAGTTCGTTTGCTAGAGCTTTTCCAATGTCAAGTATCTTTTCCTTAGACCATGAGATCGTGTAACTCCCGGATACCGTAGGAGTGCTTTGGGTGTACCAAACGTCACAACGTAACTAGGTGACTATAAAGGTGCACTACAGGTATCTCCGAAAGTGTCTGTTGGGTTGGCACGGATCGAGACTGGGATTTGTCACTCCGTATAATGGAGAGGTATCACTGGGCCCACTCGGTAGTGCATCATCATAATGAGCTCAAAGTGACCAAGTGTCTGGTTACGGGATCATGCATTACGGTACGAGTAAAGTGACTTGCCGGCAACGAGATTGAACGAGGTATTGGGATACCGACGATTGAATCTCGGGCAAGTAACACACCGTCTGACAAAGGGAATAGTATATGGGGTTGCTTGAATCCTCGACATCGTGGTTCATCCGATGAGATCATCGAGGAGTATGTGGGAGCCAACATGGGTATCCAAATCCCGCTGTTGGTTATTGACTGGAGAGCCGTCTCGGTCATGTCTGCATGTCTCCCGAACCCATAGGGTCTACACACTTAAGGTTCGGTGACGCTAGGGTTGTATGAATATGAGTATGCAGCAAACCGAATGTTGTTCAGAGTCCCGGATGAGATCCCGGACGTCACGAGGAGTTCCGGAATGGTCCGGAGGTAAAGAATTATATATAGGAAGTGATGTTTCGGCCATCAGGAAAGTTTCGGGGTCACCCGGTATTGTACCGGGACCACCGGAAGGGTCCCGGGGGTCCACCGGGTGGGGCCACCTATCCCGGAGGGCCCCGTGGGCTGAAGTGGGAGGGGAACCAGCCCCTATTGGGCTGGTGCGCCCCCCTGGGGCCCCCTGCGCCTAGGGTTGAAAACCCTAGGGTGGGGGGCGCACCCCACTTGCCTTGGGGGGCACTCCACCCCCCTGGCCGCCGCCCCCCTTGGGAGATTGGATCTCCCAGGGCCGACGCCCCCCCTGGGGGCCTATATAAAGGAGGGGGGAGGAAGGGCAGTCGCACCCTGAGTCTTGGCGCCTCCCTCCCCCTGCTACACCTCTTCCTCCTCCCGCAATTGCTTGGCGAAGCCCTGCCGAAGTCCTGCTGCATCCACCACCACGTCGTTGTGCTGCTGGATCTTCATCAACCTTTCCTTCCCCCTTGCTGGATCAAGACGGAGGAGACGTCACGCTGACCGTACGTGTGTTGAACGCGGAGGTGCCGTCCGTTCGGCGCTAGAATCTCCGGTGATAGGATCACGACGAGAACGACTACCTCAACCCCGTTCTCTTGAACGCTTCCGCACGCGATCTACAAAGTGGTATGTAGATGCATCTCTCCCTCTCGTTGCTAGATGAACTCCTAGATGGATCTTGGTGAACGTAGGAAATTTTTTATTTTATGCAACGTTCCCCAACAATTCATGCCAAAACACGCCGAACCGCGCAGATATCACGCCGTTTTTTAACACATTTGGACTGAGCCAAAATCGGCACTTGAGGCAACGGCTGGATGCCCAAGCGCCCCAGCACCGAGTATACCGCCGGCTCACCCCGAGGCCGCTCTTTTTCGGCGCCCTGAGGGGCCGAACGGCTGGAGATGCTCTAACACTACAACAGCATAGGAGTATTTCAGAATCAGAAGAAAATGAAAATCAAAAGCTGAGTAAGTAATCTTTCACACCCAGTCAATCATCACTAATCGAATTCCAGAGTCTGCAAGATTTTACAAGCAAAGAAATAACAGTAGATACCGATATCCCCACCATCAGGTCGACTCATGCTGTCAGTGAGAATGTTAGCATCATGCGCTGACCCCTACCAGCCAGCCAGCACATATGTGAACTTTCAGATCAAAGTCAACAGCAGCAAGCACATTTTGGCTTGTGTAGTGCTTCCTCCCCCTGTATGCTGCAGACTGTGACCTGGGAACTCTGGCAGTGACATGAGTACCATCTATTGCCCCAATGCAATCCTGAAAATGACATCACAAGCCTGTGTTAGTGCTCAAATTGAACAATACAAACATATCAAGCCATGAAAAGTGTATATTGTCAATGCTTACCTTGAAGTATGGATACCATATTGGGCTTCCGTGAATCTTGGGTGGAGTCTGACCAGATGGTCTTCTGGTCATCCCTCCTTTAAGCTCCCCAATAGCAAAAAGCACTTGCTTGAAGTACCTAGAGATGGTCTCCATTAATCTCCTGAACGTGTTGTGAATGACCCTGAACCTCTGGTTATGGCCAACAACATGGAGGAATATGGCCACTTGCTCTTCGACACTGGTGTTGATGCTATCTTGTAACAGCCCCCTGCTCCTGAAGGTCTCGACAAGCCTGGCAAATGGTGCTCTTTTCATTCTAAGCATCCACAAAGCCTCGATGTCATTGCAGTTGTAGATGTAGTTCAGATTTTGGATCCTCTTCTATTCCCGGGGAAACAATGGACCATAGCGGATCAAAGGTCTCCCAGCATGACGAACAACTCTCTGGTGCATGAACATGACCTATGCCTGAATCACACTAATCAGTGCTGCTGCCTGGATTATCAACCTCATCCGTGCGTCCATAACCTAGTCGACATCGACGATTCGTTCAGTGGGAAATCGATCCTACACCTAGCTTAACGGCCTAACCACTGAGCTAACAAAGAGGGAAGGGGGTGCTGCTTACCGGCATCGGAGACGAGAACGACGTAGGGAGAGGCATGGCACAGACTAGTTCGACCAGACGGTGGCCAACAGCAAGGGGAGCACCAGATCCGCCGCAAACGCCGCCGCCACCTATAGCGCAGATATGAAATCGCAGCCGCCGCCGGTGGTGAGGCAGTAGGGAAGAAAGAGAGGCAGTGGCTAGGGGTGAGCGAGTGAAAGGGGGTGAGGCTAATTTGACGCCGGGACAGCGCGCCAGATTTTCATCTCTCGCCATCCCCCTCGCCCTCGCCTCGCTCCCGTCCGTGCGACCTCGCGCTGCACTCAGCCTGGCTCGCGAGAAACTGTCGATCCCAGCGTTTCCAGCGAGCCAGGCTCTAGGCTGCTTTGAGAAGCATGCGATGCAGGCCCAACAAGAAATCCAGGCAACCAAACAGGCCTCTTCCTTCCTGCACGGGCCTGGTTGGGCTCGATGCGGACAACCAAACACGCCCTAGGTTGAGTTTTTAACCCGGACATCGGATGGACAAAAAAATGAGGCAGGAGCAGGGGGTCTTCGGTGTAGAGCCAAGGCATACTGATAATTCAAGATATCTTTGGATAAGATTTTGGCCGATAAATCGATCGGTAAAATGGCCCATTTATCCCTTATCAATCCCCAGCATAGCATATAGCATATAGCTCAATGACGCCGAGTAACCTTGTCGTCCAATACCACAGCAGCATAAGAGTATTTCAGAATCAGAAGAAAAAGAAGAAAAAGAAAACGAATCGAATTCCAGGTCTGCAAGATTTTACAAGCAACAGCTGGCAATGCACAGTTTGTACACCCAGTTTTTTGGACTATGATGAAATCACTTTATTACCTCTATCACATCACTAATCCATACAGCAGACGAACAACAAAAAATTAAGTCATCCAGCGGACGAACTTCGATCTCCAAAAGCTTACAAGAAATGCACTTGATCCAAGATTTACCTATCTATGCACCTCAAGTTCACATTGTATACATTTTCTCATCATCTAGTCCACAGGGCCAACTCGGTGATCGCCGATGCTCCAAAAGCAGGCAATATCTCATCTCACATCCCCTGTTCAGTTCAACAACACACAGACAGACAAGGCTCCCTGGGCACGCCCTACTGCCCCAGGAGCCTCTTGACGCCGGACTTCTGGTCGGCGGTGAGCCTGGCGGGGAACTTGATGTCGAACTTGACCCGCAGGTTGCCCTTCCTGGACGGGTCCTTGGGGATCGGCATGCCCTCGCCGCGCACCACCTCCTCGTACCCCGGGTGGATCACCGAGCTGATGGGCACCGTCAGGCTGCGCCCGTCCAGCGTCGTCAGGTGCACCGTGTACCCCGTCAGGGCTTCGGCGAGGGGGATCTTCTGCGTCGCCACCAGGTCGTTGCCGTCCCGGGTGTACACCGGGTGCGGCTTCTCGTCGATGATGAAGACCAGGTCCGCCGCAATCGTGTGGGGCTGCTCGTTGCCCTTCTCCGGGAAGGTGATCTTCGTGCCCTTCTTCCACCCCGGCTTCACGTCGATCGTCAAGATCTCCTCCACCGGGATCGTCTTCCTGCACACAGACACAGAAGAGTAAAGTTTAGTATCTAATTTGGCACACAAATTCAGCTTCTTCTTCTTCTTCTTCTTCTGAACACATGCACATATAACTGACACAGAATTACTGAACATGCTAGAATCTAAAGCTGGCTCAAGAATTCCTAAGAACAACTGTCCATGTCAACAACAAAGAAGGGCATTCAATGCTAAAAAATGTGGTTTCAATAAATCAGGACCCAAGTAAATCTCAGGCATCAATTTCCAAAGACAAGATTGGCTGCGAGTTCTTAGGTGCAGTGTCTACTAAAGCAAATTTCACCAGTTTAACATAGTCCCACTTCGCTCCTGAATCTTCTTTAGCCAGAACAAAATCATTTGCGAACACGATGAAACTGAATGCTACTACATAATTCAGTATGACCGCACATGCTAAAAATCTACACTGGCTCAAGAATTGCTAAGAACCATTTAAAGAGCACATGGGTGAACTTTTAGATGGGACAAAAAAGGGCATTGCACTGCTAAAGAAATTTAGTTTTAATAAACCAGGAACAGTGGCTGGGAATCAATCAAACAGATCTCAGGCATCATTTTCTGAAGACAAAAGATTGGCTGCAAGTGGTTCATTGTGGTGTCTACTAAAACAAATGAGGCAGATCCAAGTGGTCAACTGCACATTTCTCAGGTTTATTATTGATCTTCTCAACACATGTATGCCTCACACTGACACTAAACAATTCTGAATGACCGAGCACGCTAAAATCTAAAAGCCGGCTTAATAATTCCTATAAGAACTGTCCAAATCAACACTCCTAGAGCTGAAATGTTAGATGGAACCCCAAAAGGGCATTGCAATTCCCAGGTTCAGTCCGGGCCAACTAAGACAATCTCCAATCTTGATCTAGGAATCTTACTTAATCAGCAGTAACAAATGAGCATATTATGCATAAATCAGAGGGAGGGGAGGGGAAGGAGAGGGCGCTCACCCGCTGGCATCGGCGATCTCCCTGGAGATCTTCATCTTCTTGGTGGTCCCCTTGTAGAGCTCCTCGAGGGAGCAGGGCAGCTTCCTCTCGATGGGCGCCGCCTTGACCGGCGCGCCGCCGCCGCCGCCGCTGCCGAACATCCCGGGGTACCCTTGGCCGCCGCCGCCGCCGCCGCCGAACGTCTGGGTGAAGGTGTGGTCGCCGCCGCCGCCCATCCCGCCGAACATGGACGGCGAGAACCTGATGCCACCGGACGGCATGCCGTGGCCTCCGCCCCCCATGCCGCCCATGCCGCCGCCCATGCCCCCCATGCCGCCGAAGGGGCTGGAGGAGCCGAAGAACTCGGCGAAGATGTCCTCGGCGTTGCGCGGGTTGAAGCGGAACGCGGTGGGCCCGTCGGCGCCGGTGGAGAAGAAGGTGGCGCCCCCCGGCCCGCCCGCGCCGCCGCCGGCCCCCGGCGGCGGCACCTGGCCCTTGAGCCCCTCCTCGCCGTACTGGTCGTAGACCGCGCGCTTCTGCGAGTCGCTCAGCACCTGCGCGTCCGCCGTCCGAACGGAAGAGGGGAACAGGCACCGTGAGCATTGCTGCGGCGAGATCGACCGACGGACGGACGGAATCGGAAAAATGAAATCTTGAAGGATGGATGGATTACCTCGTACGCCTCAGAGATCTGCTTGAACTTGCTCTCGGCCTCCTTCTTGCTGGTGGGGTTCTTGTCGGGGTGCCACTTCATGGCGAGCTTGCGGTAGGCCTTCTTGAGGTCGTCGTCGCTGGCCGCCTTGTCCACGCCCAGGATCTTGTAGTAGTCCAGCCCCATGGCCGTCCTCTCGTCTCTTCTCTGTCAATCGATCGAGATCGCTCGCGTCGCGTGGGAATCTGCTCTGCGCTCGTCGCTCTGGTGTTGGTCTGGAGGCCGGAGGAGGGAGAGAAAAGGGGAGGGGAGAAGCGTCTGGAGAGGAGGGAAGGGTGTAGGTGGGATTGGAAAGAGGGGAGGGGATGGGTGTGGAAGGTTCCAGAAGCTCCGCGAGGGCGCGCGGGCTCCCCCGACAGGCCGCCACGGGAGACCTGCGCTGGCTGCGCTGGTCGTCGTGGGCCGGAATCGATCGCGGCAAACAGATGGGCCGTTGATTAGGACCTCGCTCCTCCGTGCTCGGCCCAGTATGCGTTTGCAGGCGACCAAGCGCGTGGCACCCTGTGGCTTCATCTCACAAAAAAAAAAAAAACTGTTTTCGGCGGTAAATAACTAGTGATAATATCTTGATGCACGGCTCTTTGTGCCCTGTTTGGATTCCCGTTTTACCTTCAAATACACTTTTTTTGTAAATAATATACGTCTCGGCCCGTGGTTTCATTACCAGACGTAAGTTGCTCAGCGACCGGTAAGATGTCGGTGCAAGTTAAACATCTCCGTACCGAAATACATTGTTCATGTCATGTCAATCTTATAGTAGTGCAAACCAGGAAGGAGGCACTTGTCATGCTTCAACAGTACCGAGAAATAGATGCGCACAAGGATGTTGGCATGGAATTTGAATGGAAAATCATTTGGTGTTCAATACACGTATATATGTGTGATACAGTTTTGCGCTTCAATGGATGCGTGCGTCACAGATACACGATAACCAGTGTGTACTGACGATTTGGCCACCATTGTTCAGTCGCATTTGCGTTTGCGCATTTTTTTTTGTACTTTGAAGACAAGAATCGCCTTTGTGCACAAGGTGTGTAATATGTAGTAGACTAGAAGCATACACGCGCCTTGCTGCGCCGTTCTACTTTTCTGCCATTTATTTGTTTGATTGTTAATTCACAAATAGATTTCTTTCTTGCTGCTCTGTTTGCGGGTTGGGGGTTGTTGTTTATTTCATGGGCCTTTTGTGTTTTCGCTTCCATAATTTTGGGGTTAGAACACTCTTTATTGCATTGCAGGGTATGTCTAGTTGCTAGGACACATCATCATTTACTTACTCAGTTTTTTTACAACTATTGTCCTTCGCAAAAATGGTATGTTAGCAGGACTGCCAAAAACATATGCAAAGTAGTTGTTGGCGTCAAACATGTCACGAACCTGCAGGGTTAAACCATAGTGCTGGATGGACATGATAATGTAAATTTGCAAAACTAATTCAAAACGATGATAATGCATAACTGAGGCTTGTGATTGTAGTATCATCTAGAACAATCATACAACTCTATGATTTGACCAACCAATATTTCATAACTTACCTTGGTCATAGACAAATAATACAAAACACCAACAATAAAGGTCCGCAATAATGGTAAAAGGGAAGTGAAAGTGAGAAATACTTGAAAGTTACAACACAACACCAAAGTATATGGCTTTTGGTTTTCAATATTGATCATTCATATGCGTAGTTAGAATCGAAATAGAAAGAACATATTTGAAATAAAAGCAATGATTTGCATAGACTAACGACAGAAAAGGGAACGAAGCATGTTTATAGCGGCTTCTAAGAGGAAGAGATGGAAATGGAGGATAGAGAGATAACTAGCTTACCCTCGCGCAGCGACACGCCGCGCCCGTCGATACGGTGTGGTTATATGAATTATGTATCTTCTTTGTAATAAGTGTTGTTATTTTAGGATGCTAGATGATCGCATGAAAACTGTGGATATAGGAAAGAAAAAAATGGAAGGACGATGCATGTGAACAAACAGGAGAATACACGATAACACATCTCTAGTAAGGATGTTTTATTTTGCCGAACATGGTGCGAGTCATTGCCAGATTAAATCATTTGTTGTAGCCTCCCATTGGATTAGCTCCTATGATGAAGTAGTAAAGAGACGCAAATAGTTGGATATATATATAGGAGTAGGATTTTCTACAATAGCTTGCCACAGAACTAGTTAAGGTTTTCAACGGTGTAAAAATTCTCAAAAATCCTGAAAAAAATACTGAACCAACACACCTACAATATAACATGATCCAACGGATGGATTGAAAAAATATGACTACATGTGTCCTGGACAAAAAGAACAAATGTTTCAATATATATTGATCCTGCAGTGAGCTGAAATGCTTGTTTTTTTCACCGAGGACACATAAATGCATATTTTTACAATCACACCGTTGGATCATCTTATTATATTAGAGTGAGACTTCCCTATTTATTTCATATTTTTTACTTCTTTTAAACCGTTAAATGTTTAGCAAGACTTAACTAGTTCTGTAGCAAGCTATGATAGACACAGTTTTACCTATATATATATATATATATATATATATATATATATATATATAGACACACACACACCGTATGTAGTTAATAATTTTTTCCTTCTTTCATACATTTTTTTACTATCACCGAGAAGTGACCGAGCCAAGAAGGTGGCCAATCTCATGCACCGTCGCCGACTACTCTAGGGAAGCGATCGCGTCCAGCGATGCCAGGGACACGTCGCTTCAAAGAAAGGAGGAGCCTAGGAGGGGGGGGGGGCATGCTTGGCAAGGCGGTAAACGAAGCTCCTTTCCATCCCACACGAGAGAAGCGGAGAGAGGCTCGATGTTTTGCGCCGACGCTATTTCTAGGTGGTGCTTCGGTTGAGATGCGAAAGCGAGTGATGACCACAGAGAAGAGGAAGGGGAGATTTATAGATGCTTATGGCGGTGGACAATTCAACCGGAATCTTCTGAAAAACACCTCGATCATCAAAGGCGGTAAGCCGCATAGGCATCCAGAAGAAGAAGAGATAAGGAAGGAGAAGTAAGCGGTGAGGCAGATAAGAAAGCAATGAAAGCGGTGGATTGGACGGGATGCATGGAGCGCACATGCGAGGGAGACAGAAGGAATGTCCCATATCTGGCCTAGAATCGCGCCCGAGCGGTGCGGTTGCCGTCTTGGTCATATCCCTCTGTCGTCTTGTAACTGGATGTAGTTGCCCGTCCCGCTGCCTGCGCATGTGTCTTGTAACTGGACGTAGTTGCCCATCCCCTGATCATCGCTTCGTCAGACTGCTATTGGCCGGCCGCATATCCAAGCAATGTGTTTCGATTGGTCTGCATGCATGCGATGACTGATTTGCCCACGTAAACTAGAAACCAACACACCGCATAGCCGACTTAATTGCAACATAAAGGGATAGAAGCACACGGCAGCGAAGCAAGCATGTTCAAATAATTTAGCTGATGCATTTACGCCCACATATGCATTTGTACACAGCCACATCCAAAAAAATGCACACGTCAACAGCCCAAATGCCCATAGGTTGCTTTCAAGATCAAACAATCATCTGGACCAAAATCGCTAAAGACACACCAAGTGCACACAGGAAAATGCGAATCAATTAACAAAATTTTCATCGAAGGCCTACGGCCACCGCGTGATTCTACACGGTAATCTACCAAAATAATGCATGTGTCGCCATCCAGCTGATCAAGAAGTCACTTTCACGCAAATGGGTAAACCCGGAAGCAAAAACTTTTCGAGATATAGTGGTTTTGGTATAGTACAAGTGATTGATCTCATTTCATTTGAATGTCATACTATTGATGCATTAATAAGGCCTGATCAGCTGTGTACATAAGTGACCCAGTGACAATTAAGTAAATTATCTTCACAGAAAAACCTAGTTATCATCAGCTGTGTACATAACTGGGGAGCAACTAGTATAGAATCTGAGCCTAGGATGCAAAAATAGAAAAAGTGGATCTGTGTCATCAGATGGGAGATTGATGGCCCAGATTTGGGTGGCTCGTTGTGTGTGCAAAATTTGCAAAAAAGTCCGCCCCTGAAAGCTAATTTGGTCACCATGCCCTCGTCGTTCAAAACCAATCCACTGGGCAGAGGCAGCGCACAAACCAAATCTCCCCACCAGCGGCCGCGGCGGCGGCCCAGATCTCTCCTCCATGCTGAGCGAGTACGCCAGGTAGAGGCGGGCCAGATCCCTCCTCCATACTGTTCCATCTCTCGATGGCTCCCTGCCGTTTTGTGGGGGGCGTCCCAGTTTGAGGCGGACCAGATCGGAGCTCGTCGGCAACCTCCTCCCCGTAATGTGCTCTTCCCAGCCTCCCTTCTGAAGCTCCGGCAGCGGTGGGTTCGGCGGCAAGCCTGTGGTGGTCTCCTCGGTCCTTCCTGACCAGCCCGTGCGACGAGGTGGTCAAGTTTTAACTTTTACTGTATTTGCTAGTAAATTTGTTCTACATCCTAATTTTACTATCAGGTAGATTTGTGCTACATTTCTCTAGTTCTATTTTCTTGTTCATGTGTCCCAGTTGTGAATGATGCATTTTAACAACTCCGATTTGATGGTGCATTGCTACTGTTCTAGGTGTTTTAGTACTCTAATTTGAACGTTTTCTTTCACTGATTAGTATTCTGGAGGATCAAGTTGGAAGGTTGAGGGCGGTTACATAATCTCAACGGCTTGAAGTTTAGGACAATTCACTAAAAAGGTTAGTATCTGCAGTTCCTTATACAGAGTTAATAGCTTGAAAAGATGGAAAGAAATTAAATTGATTCTGCTAGGAAAAAAATGAAATTGGACCATATGTTAGCATATCAAAATTTTGATTCATGTATACATGATTCACCGCTGAAAAATGGATCTATTTTAACAGGGAATAGTAAGAAGTGTCCCACTATATATGAATTATGATTCCCAAAGATGGTGGCATCGAGGGTCAACAATTTATGCATCGGAATACTGAGGGTCAACAATTAGAAGTGTCGTAGTATATATATTCTGACTCATAGACTGTTGCCGTAGTCTGCGTCTTTATCTGATCCTTGTGAGGAAGATGATCTCATTTCTGACTTCACAATTCTCATCTCAGGACAAGTCAAACAAAACTCT